TTTTCTCTTGTGCATATTATAAAATTCCTTTCTATTTTTGTATATTTACTGAACTCATTTTCTATCTGTATGCATGTAGGTTTGCTCCTAGTATAGGTTCTGGATTATTCTTATATTCTAAAATCCTTCCCAAATATGTCAAGGTTACCTACCAGTTCCAACAGTTCTTTGTTATGTCATTTTGAGAAGGCAAAATTGAAACTGCTTCTATTCTCAGGAACCTTACTATTTTTTTTTTTTTTTTTTTTTTTTAATTAATTTAATTATTATTATTTTTTTTTAATAATTGGTCAAGAGAAAATACTGTTTTGTCTTTATTTATTCACATTGAAACTTATGAACAGATGACAAAAAAAATTATGGCTCCACTGAGCATCCATAGATACTATTCAACAATCGCCTGCCAAAGAAAAAAAAAATAGCTACTAACGAGCATATCAAGTAAAGATGCACATACAGGGAAAAATAGAAAACAGAAAAGTGCACAATGATGTACACAACTAATGGATGCAAACATAAATCACCTTCTTTAGCTTGTCTAGTGCCCCCTTTCTTTTTTTCTTGACTGTCCTTTGATGTGTCCCAATCTGGTTCAACTCTATGTACTAAACGCCAAACAGTCACAAAAAGAAGAAAAACAGTTACACACCAGAATGCACACATCCACACTGACATTAGCCATTACATTCAGTCAGAGAGAAGAGAACTCTTTCTTTGGCACAATATTGCAGGAATGGTACACTTTCATTTTTCTCTCTCTCCAAGATAAAATTGAAAAAGAAAACAAACAGCATTGGCTGGATTCATATGGAAATGCAGGTTCATCATTAAATTTTCTTAGGTAATTTTTGCCGACCCATTTTGAACACTGAAAATTAAGATGAAATTGAGAAAGTTCCAAAGATGAGACCTTTTTGTTTCTTATTTACTCTGCCTTTTACCCAGAAGGAAATTTAAGAGAATGTAGAGCAACTTTCAACTCCAATGATAAGCTATAGATTTTTCCCAATTTTGTAAAACATAAATCTTTTGTGGAATAAGGAGTTATTATTTACATACAGACTATTGCTCTTTGTCGTAATCAATGTTTTGACAGGTGTGTCCTTTGGCTTTCATCAGCTGCTCGCCAATCAGTAAATTTGGTGACATAGTAACTTGAGTTCAATTCTTGGGCTGGGGAGTGTGTTAAGTCCAGGGTTAACCAATATCTATTCTACTCATCCTCATAATACACTTTTACTTCCCTTACCATCTCACTCAATAACCCTCTACCTTGAGTGGCACTTGGTACTGCAGTAAAAAAAAAAAAAAAAGTGGAAATATGGTTAGTAATAACTAAGTATTACTAAATAAGAACTTGACAAATATCCCCAGACATTGGCAGTGGAACAATCTACTCACTTAGATTGAATCAAGGGTTCAATCTGAAGTTCCCTGAAGTTTACTTGGATCAACAAGCCCCTGATGAAAGCCAGAAGACTCACCAGCTGATACATGATAACAACAACAATGAAGACAATAGTCCTCATTTAAATAATGTAAATAAAGAGAAATCATTACATATAAGTTTGGAAAATATGTCTATAATCTTGCCATGAGAGAAGTACAAAATAAAATTCAGGATATAAACAAAAACAACCTAAATTTTAAATTTAGTGCAAAAGTCTAAACTGACGAATGTAATTTTATTCTGTCACCATATAATGTTCCTCACAAAGTAAAAAAAAAAAAAAAAAAAAAAATAAAGTAATCAATTTCTGATATAAAAACAGTTTTTTATCTGGTCAGATACAATTCTCAACATTTGTTATATTCACATAGCTACTAATTCACAAACTTTAAAAATCCTTAAGTAGCTTTTCATACGGACTGCTGTGTCTTTAAAATAAAATGATATACAGGCAGCATACTATAAACTAGCAGTAGAGCCTGGCATTGCCCGGGTATGTAACAGTAATAGGTAGATCAAGTATCGACCATCATAAAGACTGAAAAATAAAATTGACAAAGATTATTGTTTAAGGTTGATGGACACGCATGTCTTAATTAGTTTTTTTTTTTTTTTTACGAATTGGTCAAACCAAAACTCAAACAAAAACATTGTTTTCAATCGTTATGAGTCTACCGATTGAATAAAATTTTATTATAAACAATTGTCTTGTAAATGGAATTTTTAAAGCATTCTGCATGTAAAAATAAAGAAAAAAGTGTGCAAGACAATAAGAAACACTACCTGCCAAAAAAAAAAAAAAAAAAAAAGTTTTGCTGAAATTGGTTGAAAAATGTAGGAAATCCAATCTCATATATAAACGAACACACACACAAACAACCTGGGTTTTATAATAAGTATAACTTGATATGAGTTGTCCCCCTTTCATTCTCGCGATGCCTCTTAATCGTGTTTTCAAACTGATTTCGTGCAAAAACAATTGTGTTTTTCCAATTTTTGGTGCTGTCAGGACCACCGCAAGGTAATTTTACGTAGTCCTGTGAAGTTTTGTTGAAATCGGTTGAAAAGTGTAGGAAATCCGATCCAATATATAAACGAACAGACACACACACACAACCTGAGTTTTATAATAAGTAAGATACAGAAATCCTAAGTCCGATAGCTCCAATAAAGTAAAACTGATAGCTGATCTTGAAAACGACCTTCAATCAATTGCTAACTGGGGCAAGAAATAGCTTGTAAGTTTTAATGCCTCCAAAAAGAAACTACTATCTTTTAGTCATCTTATTGAACCATTTTTATCTTCCATCATCATGGCTGATGCTAACCTCCAACAGAACAACTTTTGTATCTTCTTTGTCTCACATTTTTCACTGACATGAAGTGAAATGAGTATCAATCAATTGCTCGGGTTTGTTGTTAGGAAAGCTGTTTCACTGTGGCACGCCAGACAATTTTTCTCACTAGAATTCATCTTGCACATTTATAAATCTAACATTCATCCAAGCATTGAATATTACTGCCACATCTGGTCCGCTCCTCTTGTTATATAGCTAGAGATTCTTGACAAAATCCAAAGAATGGTCTGTAATGTTATCATTCTTAGCATCAATCACATTCTCACTGACGTAACATCTTTCCGTCTTTTCTATAATTATTTTCATAGCAGTGAACTTTCCTTCTCGGTACCTTGACCACATGAACTTAAACCTAATACCTGTCCTGGGTATGAAGATAACCTACATTCAGCAGCAAGGCCTCTGATCAGGAGGTTTTGAGGAGAGTGGAACCACCTCTTAATTGCTGGTGTTCCCAGGTCCACCCTGACCCAGGATGGTAGTACCTGTTAGGGTCCCAGTTATGGGCAAATAGTTAACCCCACCCAAACTGGGGTTAAAACACCATGAAAATGTAAAAATAGGTTTTAATACCAGAAATACTTTGTAAAATATTATTACCAGCTATACATTTTTTGAAGAAAAAAAAATATCAGAAATAAAAATTTTGTCAGCATTAAATAACCCATTGAGGTTGATATGCCTTAAAACAAACCAAACTAAACCTAATACTAGATTGGCAACTACTGTTAAAATAGATGTAACCATAAGTTCTATTCTAATAGATACTTTTCTCATAGTTCTTGCCTATAGAACTCTTTTGGTTTCATATAATCACCTACAATCTCCAAAAATTTCAATCCAACAGCAATTGCAATCTTGTCTTCTTAAACACTGCTTTTTATTGTCCTTTCTCCTTATTAACATTTTCTCATTTTCTTTCATTCTCAGTAACATCCTTGTGTCTTAGTGGCATTATTGCCTTGCTTAGAATTAAATGATTATGGAAAAAAACAAAAATTTGCAATTTTCAAGATTACATCAACCAGAGATTTTTTATTTTAAACTGAAGATTATTACTGCTTTATCTTTCAAGATCTTAAAAAAAAAAAAAAAAAAAACACTAAATCAAGGGCATTTGCATAAACCCTTTAAAAATGATGAAAGTGTGGTTAGATTCCTACAAGAACCATCACACATTTTAAACTGAGCAAAACTTGATAAAAAGTTTTGATCATGTTTACGATTTGCTTGTGTTTCTACCAATCAAGGAGAACAGGTACAAGTTCCATAGTCTGACCAGTCATCCAACTATTTGAATTCTAATCAAAATTTGATCAAAAAATTTTATTCACATTGACTCTTATGAACCCAATACAATGTGGTTCTACAAAAAGGATGTTCAGAATACCATGGACAGAGCATGTGAGTAATAAGGAAGTCTTAAGGAAAATGGCAACAGAAAGGACACTTACAGTTAGAATCAGAAAGAGAAAGTTGAATTTTCTGGGATGCATAAGGAAAGAGAGCTTAGAGAATTTGACACTCACATGACATATTGAAGGCAAGAGGGACAGAAGGAAAGAATAAGGGACATGCCTAACAAGCTTGTATAAATGAATGGCAGAATAGAGAGTGGGATGAATAGTAAAGAGACATTGTTAAGTGCAACAAAGGATGGGAAATTGTGGAGAGCCATGATCACTCACATCCTATAGGGAAACAGCACATAAAAGAAAGATCAAATTACAAGTACAACCACAATTATTTCCTTCATCCTGGCACGGTACTTATTTGGTACGGCAAAATTACTTTTGAAGTCATTTTTTTTCTATGGCACAATTCTTTTGTTCCAGTTCATTTATAAGTTCAATTTTATAATTTGAAAAATTCCGACCAGCATGAATATTCCAGACAGCACTTCTATTTGGTAGAAATTTGAGAGAGCTTTGTTGAGTTGTTATCTGCTATTTGATAAAATCAAGTTACAATCTGACCATATTCTGAAAACATGAAGGTCAGACTATAGGACCTGAACCTGTATAAAATTTTCCAGAAAGCAATGCAATTCATTAGTATCAATTAACAGAAGTTAAAATTCTCTTTGTTAGAAAGTTGGAAAGGATTTTAATTTGAATAAAAAAGAAGATAAAGAAACCTGAAAAAAAATGTTAATAAAAAGAAAAAATAACGAAGGAAGAAAGATGACTAACCTCATTGCGTATCCACTGATAAATTTTGGCTTTGTTGTCCATAATTAAAAGAGATTTGGGTGGTCGTTCATTGCCATTGAAGATAAATGTTATGTCGCCTCGTTCCCAATGCATCCCATTAAAATCTACTAATGTTGTATCCAGTCTAGACAAAAATAAATAATTAAAAAAGTCAGTTTCTAAAAGTTCCAGTGTTCTGGATGGTATATTGCTCAGTATCACAATTCTTAAAGCACGAAAAGATGGCTAAGGACAGAAACTCAGTTCAAAGAGATGAAAAAAAATCTTATACATAAATACAAAATCTTCAGTTAGTGCAGATGTTCTTGTCATTAGACAGTTTTATAATTGGTTATTTGTAACCAATTTAATTTTAAAAAAATTGCTTTTTATTCTATTGCTACCAAACAGTAGGTGTTGGTACCAAAATTTAAGATATTATGATGTTTAGTATAATGACGGCACCAATTCATTTTTTTTTTTTTTTTTAGGTATTTTGCTACATATGTACTAAAATAACAATTTCCTTCTTTTTTTTTTTTTTTTTTTGTTGTTTTTCAATCAAAATAAAGAAAACAATTCAAACAATCAAATTGAAAAGACAACTTTTTTCTTGTGGAAGGTTCAAGGTGAAACTGCTTGAAAGGAACAGTAACACCATAACAAGCATCAGACTGTGGGAGGCATGATCAGATATTTTAACAAGTTTCAAGACTTGTTCTGACCACACCCATATGCATACCTGCATTTGCATCACTAGAAACAGCCAGAAAATAGTCAACATTTTAGCCACCGTAATGAAAGAAAATGAAACCCAGCCTAGAGTACTATTTTCATTTTCAAGTTCTCTTAAGATCAAAAAACTCATAGAAATTGCACAGATCTAACTTCCCAAAACTTATCAAATAACAAAACAGTTGGTGATGAGTATTCAGACAGATTCTGATTTATGAATCAATCTGAACTGTTAGCTTAATATTTTAGAAGATAGTAGAAAGGGGAAAAAAAATGGACTTCCAGAAACAGTAAACAACAGTCAATATTTTTTATAAAAATAATAAAATTTAGGTGGGTACCAGGAAATTTGGACATGCATATTTAATTAAAATAGGTGAAACACTATTTGGTACCACCATTTTAATACCCAGGTACTAAGTGAAATTAAACAACTAAACTACCACCACCCACTGGCCATGGATCTGGTAGCTTACTTTGTACTCCACTGAGTATGAGCTTATTTGCTTAAAGGGTTGTCCCAAGTATACCAGGTGTATAATTCATTCCCATAATACAAGCATACTGGACATGAGAAAACAACTAATTAAAAATATAGGTGGTTTTTCACCAAAATAGCCCCAGTAACAAATTTCTAGAGAGGATGGTGGTATCATGAAATTTCTTCAAAAGTACAATGGTATTCATGACAGATTTTGGTAGTGTCCCACTTCCGGATATTTAGCAGATGAAGTCCTACTTAGTATTCAAATAATATTTAACCATTGTATTTAAAGGAAATTATTAAATTTACTTTTCTCCTTGCAATATGCTCTTTCTTGTTAGATATTCTTCAATATATAGTAATTGATTTTACATTGTTATATTCATATGCTATCTACTGCTACTGAAGAAAAAAATAGTAAATGAAAGTACAGCATGAATATTTTTCTATAATATTGCTGAGGGAAGAAAATAAGTTATAAGTTTGAGAAAAGTGTCAAAAATAGAGTAAAAATGTAAAATAAATAAAAAAATAAATAAAAAAAGGTAAAAAAAAGATTCATAGCTTATGGGGAGGGTACTATGAATAGTTGACCAAATAATTTTGCATGCTGGAGACTTCAGAATGAACAATGCTCCACACTCACATAATTTCAGCTGAGGTTGATTGCAATCAAAATGTCAAGCAGAATTAAACCAATTGAAAAAAGCATCAATGGAAAATATCAGGAATTAGTTAATAGAAAAGGTGTAATATGCCACCAGGGGAATTACAGACAGGTTAGTTCTTTAGGGACAGAGCAGAAATTCTTGAATGACCAATCAAAATTTCTTTCCAAATTAGGTGAGAAAATTTGATTTATCTGCCATGTTCAATAGATGAACGTTTAATTCTGATCATAACAAAAACCAGTTAATTAAACAAAACAAAAAAAAAAAAAAATCAATTCTTTGGGAGATTACAAAAGGCACCTAGAGAAGTTCTTTGCTAAAAGAATATAAATTATTATGGGAAAAGAAAATTCTGAAAAATAGCAAAAGATGGCAGAATAGTAAATATCCTGTTCAATAAATACATTTTTTTTAACAGCATGTCACTTTAGAACAGAGAATCATGACTCTTTATAAATCCTTCTCTTTATTATCCAAATTGCCATGCATTCTTGCAAAAGATAGTGGAGTGGTTTTCTGTTGCCTTCTCAATGGTTTTATATTCAAAATACTTCTAGACTCATTGCTACCCAAGGCTAGAGAGCACAGTCTGCCTTGCTATTTAATCCCTAGCATAGAGGGAGAAAAAACAGATGCTTATGTTTTCCCTAATGACATTTGTACAAAAATGAAAGCAACAGAACAAGCTGGAATTTGAACCTGGCTCACCATTTCCACTTTCTGCAAAGATAAACGGTATACTTTCAGCATAATAGACTTAAATACTGAAAAAAAAAAAAAAAAAAAAAAAAATTAACAAAGTAAACTAAATTTGGTGGGGGATCAGGACCAAATTTTCCTAAAGTTACAAAATTGTTTGCAATTTTATCATTTTTAAAAATGTTTCAGTCAGAAGATTTTATTGGATTGGGGTGGAGGTAACTAAAAGGAAAAAACTAAACTTCTAAAAGCTGTATGCAACATACATTTACAGAAGGGCAAAAAGTATATCTGGCAAAATATTGGAGTAAAATAACAAAATAATTAACTAAATCAGGAATGTATGAGTGGGTGCTGAAAAGTTCTGGGGTCAAGTAAATTTTTTTAAGTCACATTTAGAGAAATGGGTCAAGCCAAGAGCTTTTCACCTAGTTGTGTATAGATGTGCGCATGTGTGTGTGTATATAAGGTTAGACACAAATCAACACAGCATGTTGAATGTCGGTTACATCCTTCAAAACATGTATTATTCTTTTAACAGGCTATAGGACACATTTGGCAGAGGAGGGCGTATTCAACATTTGATAATTTTGCAGCAATACACACTTAAAGGTCTTAGGCAGTTTTGATCAACATCTCTTTCCATGGTTAACCGTAAGTAATTGTAAATGTAGAACTATCTTACAATTAAGTAAAATAATAACAATAATAATATTTATTAAGAATTTATTACAGGAAATATCAAGTTTTACGGAAACATTGTTGATAATTATGTATTTAGTTACATAACAAATAAAAATAATATATATCTTGATACGATATTAGATTTGTTAAGTATTTTTCATTTTCTCCTTTGTTATTGGCAGCATTTTAAAATACTTTGGTTGCAATGCTAAGTTGAACAAACTGAAACTATTTCAATAACACTCATTTCAATTGTTGTTTTTAGATTGATTTCTTTCAGTTATTTTGATGGTCAATAGTGAAATTCTGAAATTTAGAATGATCTTATTCCATCCAAAAATAAAACCTGTAAAAAGGAATATTTTAAATTAACATACGACCAAAAATAAAAGCCTTTTGACGAAAACCTTAATGTTTTCACTATAATTATTTAACAATGATATTCTGCAGAAAAATCTACAGTTTATGTTTCCTCATCTCATTGCATGGTTATAAACTATAAATCTAAACTGAGCTTGAAATATTGTAATCAGTTCTAATTTTTGTAAAATACTTGGATATGATATAATGAATAATTTGTAGTGAAAAAAGAAATTTTTGATGAATATGTCTCTCCTCCACTGAATGCATCATTATATAAAGAAAGAACAACAAGATATATAATCCGGTGTTCTTATAGATATTTTTATTTTTAGCTTCCATTTTTGAAACATGGTTAGAACTGTGTAGCGAAAAAAACCATATTTTAAATCAATTAATTTATAATAAATATATATATATATATATATATATAGTCATCCACAGACAGACTGTTTCACAGCTCATCAGTGTGGCTAGACATCCAGTCGCTTCATGTCAGGACCAAAACCCAACCAATTTGGTATCAGTCTGAGATTCTAACCCCTGGGCCATCAATGCATAAGCTACTGAGGGATTAAATGAAGTGGGAGAAGGAAACTGACCTTCTGCAAAATTGATCTGAAAATCACACACACAAAACCATGCAAGTAGTTGTTTATATAAAAAAAATTCTTTGTTCACTATATATATATATATATTTGTAAATGTACTCCAATCTTTCTTCATAAATATAGCAAATTTTAAACAATGTGTGTATATATGTGTGCACACATGCAAAAATTTTTTTTTTTTTAATTATTTAACTGATCAATAATTAAGTAAATTTTAAAGTCATTTTTTAAAAATAATCGGTTTTTTTTTGTGTTTTTTTTTTTTAAATTAAAGTATATATTTATAAAAATACACATTGCTACAACTGGTCTCAGTTCAATAATGGAAAACTTTAAACTTTATAACGTGCTTCTTTTTCATTTAGATTAGGTGTGGTGAACATTTAAAAAATTCAATGATTACTTAAATATTATTTCAATAAATATAAAGTTGTATTTGGACACAGTGGAAACGGGGCAAGCAATAACCAATCAGTAATAAATACGAAATAGATAAGATCCTTAGACAAGGGCAGTGGAACAAGAACAATTTAAACCTGTAGATTAAATAAAGTTTCAGTTTGAAATTCCCTGTAGGTTACCCGGATTGTCAAGCTCCTGGTTAGCGGTTACAACATGTTACATATGCTGATAGCTGGACAATAGTCTGTGCGTAAATAAATATAAAATATGTAGTCAAGATCATCTAAGATTTAAATTTAAAAAAATAAAGATTTTCTAAAACTCAATTAAAAAAAATTAAATTCCACCAGATCATTTATTCTTGCACTGTCAGATATTTAACTTACAAGCTTTTAGCTATGTACCTGGAAGTGCTGAAAAGTTTTTGGTCTAACTCCCTTCTCAAAATCTGTCCAAAGAACCAAATATCAGAATTTTTTTAAAATATTTTTCTGCACCCCCTCATCAAAGCAAGAGAGCAATCAAGAAAGAGAAAACATGTAGCAATTGCTTTACAAGCAATTACCCAATAACAGTTTCAAGCAAGATGGCCTGAAGCTACCCCGAAAAATGGCCAGTCAAGCAGACATTGATTTTGCCTAAATCGCCTGATTATCTTAGAAGACAAATTCCTCAAAACTTCAAATCAGAAAATTTCATTACTAACAAACCTGTAATTATATCAGCATTAAAAACTTTTGAATGTATAGTGAATGCCGTCTTGACCGAGCGTCCCACTTCTCAAGCCCTGCTTTAGAAAAAGGATGTCAATAGTTGACTTTGGTTAATAAACACATACACACAAAATAAATAAGTCTTCTTGTACTTGTGATGAAAGAACAAAGTCAGCACTGACGGTCAGAGACTGAGGTGAAGGTGGGGAGGGAGAGAGAGAGAGAGATAGAGAAGTGGTCATCCCAACTAGAGATATTCTTCAGGATGTGAATACAAGTGTTAACTTTCCCTCTGCCTTGGTTTCACAGTACAAGAAACTCAGGCTCACACAGACATGGACTAAATAACAAACACTGTTTTGTTTTCTATACACATAAGTTTCTTCTCCCTGCTGCATGCTTTGAAATTTGCAAGTATACATCACTAAGGTATCCCTGCTGACTTAATCCACAATAGCCAAGTCAAATACTAAGAAAAATGTTGTGTGTGTGTGTGTGTGTATATATACATATATATATATATATATATATATATATATATATATATATATATATATATACACACACACACAGAAACGGAGGGAGGGAGGGTAAGAGAGAGGTGAGAGTGACAGAGAGAGGGGTTGAAAAATGATTTTTAAGAAATGCACAGATCCTGTTCAAAATGTAAATAAACACTGTTTTTCTATAGAAACTTCTGTGGCTGAAGGATAAAGTAAGCCTGGATAAAAGGTGTTTTTTTCAAGGCAATGGAATGCAGGTTCAATTCCTGCTAAGACAAATTTTGTAAGTCTTTCTCATCCATTGAACATTAATTTCACCATTTGAAAAAAATGCATACGTCTAACTCAAGGATGTCTATCCACTAAAATAACATTTAATGTAATGACATACATACTGAGAAGTAAAGAAATAATGAAAAATTTACCGTATACAAGCACCTCTTTTTCGAATTTGACAGATATCTGAAGGTAATATCCTAGAAACAAGTGGTACTGAAAAGAAAAACAAAACATAAAAAAGCAAAACATAAATGTCTATAAAAACATTAAAAATATCTATAAAAAAAGAAAAAACATATATATATATATATATATATATATATATATATATCCCAGAAATAATTCTGAAAATAAATACAAATTGGTTTAAAAAATGGCAATTGGAAAAAATTCTTAGTTCTTGCTGATGCATTTCATCTTCCAACTTTATCAAGGCAAGCAATGAAAGTGAAATGTTTTGTAGCCATAGTTACATCAAATCCAAAATTTAAGAATAGAAAAAGATGCTCCTGTGTAAGCATCTTTCTGGATATTGGTAACTTCCTGTTAACTAAGAGTTTGTTTTCCATGTCGACAATATAGTTAAATTTCCCAGAAATAATTCCAACAAATTGGTTTAAAAAAATATGATATAATTCACTTTGCTAGAAATTTGGCAACAGCATGCTGCACTGTTTGGCATCCAGACCAAAAGCTCCAATACCAGCATTTTAGAATGTTTGGATGTCAATCTGAGGATAGCACAGAGTATTTGGAAAAACTTGGATGATATCATTTGGCCCATAAACTTTCCATGTCTATTGAACAGGAGTAGAGATTCATCCCTTATTCCCCGATCAGGATATGGTTTACCGGTTCTCTGAGTTTCTTCTATCAGGATCACAATGATTTAACTCTCTACTTTTTGGTGTTTGGACTAGCCAGTGGCTGGGACTTTCCATTGTGAGGGCACCAGGTTGTCACTTTGCTGGCTGCTGCTTCCGACTGGTCAATAGAAACCAAAGCATTTTAGTAGAGCTTAGAGACGCTGCTCCGATCAACAGTCACATAATATCAGAGTATCTGTAGTGCCATGTCATGCATGGGTAGGTGTCCATGCATGGGTAGGTGTCCCTGCATGTATTATCAGTGGGCAACCCTGAGGCCACATTATGCTCTGCTCTCAGCCACATACTGGCTGGTCCATATTGCCATTGACGACAGTGACAATTATGGTGATCTTTTTTCTTTTATGTTTTCCTCTCTCCTCAAGACATATCTCATGGAAATCACAACAAAAAAAAAATAAAACTAAACCAGCTAACAAAAAAACCACCTCCTTCTTTCTTTCTCTAATATTCTTGGTATCCGTTCCAACTTCTGCAGCATAGAATCTTTTCTCCTGGAACGGTCACCAGATATCTTCATCCTTTGTGAAACCAACTTGAATTCTTCCATTGCTACCAATGAATTCTTGGTTCCAGGGTATCTTCCCCTTTGCTGGAAAAAATTCCAGCATTCCCATCCATGGCATTGGTGTTTACATCCAGGATAATCTCCTGATGGCCAGGGAATTGTCTCTTAAGACTATCAATTACTCTTTCATGTGCTTCTGTCTTTCACTATTTAGCTCTCTCTTTTTCTTTTATCACTCCCCCTCTTCCTAAGACTGCAGTATGAAAAAGGCACTTTCTCTCCATGCATCTGTGAACATCTGTCTTTGGTGACTTTAATGCTCACCACAATATGTGGCTGAAACATTCCAAAGTTATTGATGTTGCCAGTATACAGACATTAAATTTTTCCGTTGCACAATCCCTCACTCAAATCATGGACTTCCCTACTTATTTCCCTTGCTAAATCGAGCAACAGGATTCTCTACTGGATCTTACCTCCACTCCTTGCCAAGTTTTAGAATACTGCCATCTTGGTAACTTGGACCACTCTGTGGTAGCTATTGCTATCTCCTTCCAAGCAGCCATTAAAACAGGAACCCCCTATCCATAAAACCTCTTTCCATTACCAGCATGCTGATTGGATTTTCTTAGCAACACCCCTTAGAGTGACATCTTCAACCTCCCAACTGAAAATTGCACTACTGAGGTTTCTTCTTGGTTCAAAGCCAGCATGGACGCTTTCATCCCTTCTTGGAAATACCAAGTAAAACCACAATTCTGCCCTCTTCAATCGATTTGAGAGGTTATCATCCTCTGCTGATAAAACTGAATGCTTTATCAGCAGAGGATGATAACCGTAAATTCTCCTCAAACTCTACTCTTGACTCATCTGGAGTATCCCTGCCTAACTTCCCACTTAGAACTGATTCTGTTGAGTGATATGCATATAACCCCTTACATGATCTCTGCTATCATCCCTAACATGGATTGCCACAAAGCATGTTGACCTGATGGTATCCCTGTAATAGTCATTATGAAGCATGCTCCTGAATTGGCTCCTGTTTTCTCTAAACTGCATAATAAATGTCTTGCTGCCTCCTGCTTTTCTGCCTACTGAAAGTTATCGTCTGTTGTTCAAGTTTTTAAGAACTCTGATGAACTGTCCGACCCATCTAACTATTGGCCAATAAGCCTTCTACCTCATTTTAAGAAGCTTCTAGAGGCCCTAATCAATGCTGAATTGGTTCATCATCTCTCATAGCTGGGCCTTTTCTCAGACAAGCAATAGGCTTTCATTTCTCCAGGTCAACTGCTGATGTACGCATGATGATTGCAGAAGACTCTTCTGCAATTATCATGCTATTGATAGAAATGGTGAAGCCAGGGCTATCACATTGAATATCTTGAAAGCCTTTGACAGGGTCTGGCATTCAGACCTTCTCAACAAACTGAAAAGTTACGGTATCTCTGGGTACATTTTTGGAATGATCCAGTCGTTTCTATCAAATCGTGAAATTAACATTGTCCTGAATGACTAATCGTCTACATCCTTTCATACTAATGCCCCTCAGAGCTCTATCCTTGGTCCTACACTGTTATTAATCTTCATTAACAACCTTATGCAGCTGATGTACAAAAAACCTCAAGACCATTGTTAACTGGAACAAAAGATGTCTTGTTAATTTTAACACCTCCAAACCTAAACTTCTCTCCATTAATCATCTAAGAGATCCCTCTCTGCTTTCCTTCAGCATGGCTGACGCTATCCTCCAAGAAAGTGAATATTTGCACCTTCTCAGACTAAAATTCTCAGCTGACATGAAGTGAAAAGATTATATTGACTCCATTGCTAGGTCAGCTCCTCAGAAAGTTGGTTCATTGCGTTGGGCAAGACAAGTCTTCTCTCCTGAATCTCTTGCATATCTATGTCTACCATTTGTCCATGTTTAGAGTTTTGCTGCCATATATGGTCAAGTGCCCCTGCTATTTACTTGGATCTCCTTGATAAAATCCAAAGGAGAATCAGCAATATTAATGCTCCTGAGTTTGAAGCTCAGCTTCAGTCACTTGCCCACCACTGTAAGGTTACCTCTCTGTGCCTTTTCTATAAATACTTTCATGGTAATTGTTTGGATGAGATCTTTCCTATGGCACCTAGACTGTATGAATTTAAGTGCAATACTAGACTGGCAGCAAGACCTCATTAATTTAGCTAGATGTAGGCTGTAATTTCTATGCTAACAGTTTCTTTTCTTGCACTTCTCACTTGTGGAACTCCCTTCTAGCTCCATGCTTTCCAGCCAACTTTAATCTGCAAAAATTTAAAAGCAATGTCAATTGCTATCAACTGTCATCCTGATTGCTCTTTTGTAGTTCTACTCATTACTAATATTTCTGTTCCTAATTTCTCCACACCCTGTAACCCCTTCCTAAGCTGTACTGCCTTGCTTAGGGTGACACCAATTAAAAGAAAATATCCAGTCAACATCATAGTGTTTGGAGTGACCACTAGTGACGACACTTCATGCTTCCATTCATCTTCCCACAGGGCATCAAACTCAACATGGAGGCCTACACCGTGCCTTGAGGAGGTAGTGCTGCTCTGAGTCAAGAGGGTAGCTACTGAAAAACCCTATGTCTAGTCACAGGACTCTGCACCATGCCACACAAGCAGGAGAAACCAGTCATGGCTGTCAGACAATCTCTGCAACCACATTACTCCTTACTCAATTCCCCAGACTGCAACACCCTTGATTGCACTTTTGTTGGTCTCCCACTCAACTGCACCCCACAGTTGAGTGGGAGACCAAAAAAACTTCTTGTAACACCAAAGATGAACTGAAGGCAAGTATTATTCACCAACTTAAACAAGGAGACCATCCAGAAGAGTTGCGGGAGATTCCGAAGTCATGGCTGAAACCAATGGTGATTTTATTGAATAAATCCACTCTTTAGTATTTCAAGATATTTTTGTGTAATTTTGGTAAATATATCTGTTAAAATGAGATGTCAGTGGTATTTTCTGTGACCACATCACCCCTAACATCTGGCCACCTGACTCTCCAAACTGCAACCCTCTTGATTATTATTTGTGAGGGCACAGTTGAGCGAGAGGCCACAAAAATAATCACAAAAATTATTAAAATGCTGATACCAGTTATCCGAGACATTTCTTTACACTTTCAATTGAGTTTTGCTTAACTAGTATTTCCAGATCTTTATTGTCATTTGCAGACAGATGCCCCATACAAACTTGATACCTTGAGCTTAAGGACTCCTATTCCCACTGCAGAACTTCAGAAAGCAGTATCATACAGTCCATTCAAAAAGCGAATCCTTCAAATCATGCTCTGTTAATGTGGGCAGCAGTTTCAGAAGCTTGAACTCATGCAAAAAAGTAAACATCTCTTGTTCACATTCAAGGTGAGGAGTATGTAAGCTTTTAAGTTAAATTCTGAAAGAGATTGATATAAAATTAACAAAGAAGACACTTTAACCCTGTGCTAGTCACATTTAGTGTTTTGTTACCACCAAATTTTTTAAGTACTTGTAATTCCTAGTTGGTAACTATTTCTTTTGCATCACTGTCTTCAGGGTGTCCTGTCACCTCACTAACAAAGATAAGTTTTCACAATTATATATATATATATATATATATATATAATTACAGGACTGAAAGAATGATAAGTTTAGCTAAAGTAATAGTAATATCTTTCTGTTCATAGAAATATATTGTCATTATTTTTGATGAATACAACTTTTTCTCAGTTATTGTATTGGTGTATTTCACCTACAATTTACAACATATACAACAAATTTATTATAATTTTCTTTTCAATGAATAATTATATCTTCAGTTCAAGTTTTGATTTAGCATATATTGTAACAGAGTGCCTATTATGCCATTTTCTTCAGCAGTACAACAATATTTTACATAATTGTAACACTAAGCATTTTTGTATTTGGGTGTGTAACCACCCTAGGGGACTATCCATTTTTGGAAATCCAAGGTAACTACCATGGGGTTAATCTTTAGGAATGAATAATATATTTTTGTGCAACTATTATAACTGTGACACTATTTGACACTGGTAAATGGAAAAAAAGGGTTAATGATGGACAGACCAAGAGAAAGAATGAAGATATCTCTTTAAAAAAAAAAAAAAAAGCTTAATTCTCTAAAAACCAGAAGAATTATTTAAGAAAAGGTGATATTACCACAAGAAGCCATTTTGCAATCTTTAAGCTGACAACTGATTAATGACCTAGCTCCAAAGTACTGGTTATGAAAACACAAAATAAGTAGAACGGATAAGATTTGATCTGTAACCAAATCTTGAGAACAGTTTCCTTGTGGTTGGAGTGCAATGACCCTGACAGGGGTTGGGGGGGGGGATGGCTGACCAGAGAACCATCTGGTAAATATCTGATTGTGAAGAAGGTCAGGATGGGAAAATCTTGCATAAGCAAAATTTGAAATGATAATTTTTTTTTAAATTAATAACAATAAGTTAAACCATGCTAAGCAGTCAAGAGCCAGATTGGTTAAAAGGTAGCCAAGGTGGCAGGCACAGGTGAAATACTGTGGAAGGTGGAAGAAATGCCCACACCCATTGGAAGTACAGTGTAACCCGGATATAAGAGAGACCCAGATATAAGAGAGATTTTCTCTGGTCCCAAATTAGAGCCTGTGTTAATGTAAACAAAATAGACCAAACCCGGACATAAGAGACGACTTCTCCGGTCCCGACAACTCTCTTATATCCGGGTTACACTGTATTTGTGTGAGATGCCAATAAGAGAAGGAAGAAGTTATTGGGACAGATCGATACCCGTGACCACTACTCATAGGAAAAAGGGATCTCCCGATTTGGAAATGTAATTAATTTTCAAGAGCCAGATAACAAAAGGGCTCTTGTTGGAAGATAGGGGAATCACTGTGTCCCCTGTGTCATGCCCTGCACTGGTTTTAGATGAATGTCAATAAATGCAAGGAATCAAAGCATCCAAAAGCAGTTGTTGCAGATAATGAAACGAGAAACGACCGTATTGCCTGATATCATGTGACTGCCTGCCTGAAGAGAACCTCCGACATAAGCCTTGTGCCGGACTTAACCAAACCAGCTGAAGTGTCACATTCAACTTAAGCAGGTTGGGTCGATAATTGTTTGCATGAGAAACTGATCAATTCTAACATCGAGACTAACCAAGGACTGTACAAAAGAACATATATGAAAGCATTCAATTTTATTCAAGTTATATATATTTTTTTTTCTCTTTTTTACTTGTATCTTCATTCTGCCTGGACCAACCCAATATGACAATTCCTGACAATGATTCAATCTTTGCCAGCCTTATGATCAAAACTAAATACGACATAGAATAAGGCAAGGTTTGGATCGAAGCGATCATCTCATTGATCAGCTGCGGGAGTTGACCATTCGGATGACCAGCCAAGTAAGAAGGCAACATAATATACACAAAAGGTTTATTCTAAAATCATCTTATTTTGTGAACATTTTAGTACTATATGTCTAAACTCATTTGAAAATAACACTAAGCACTAATTATTTTATGTTAGAGACTGATATTTCATGATAACTTGAAAAAGTGTGAGTGTATATTTTATATATATATATATATATATATATATATATATATGATAGATAGAGAGAGAGAGAGTTTGGTTGTTTTTGTTTAGTGGTATATCAACATCTATGGGTTATTTAATACCAAAATTCTGTACAGAATATTTTTTTAAGTTTAGAGATAATAATGGTTTTAGTGATATAAGTAACTAAATAACCCATAGCTGAGGAGAGACAAGGTTGATTCATACTTTTGCCAGGGGGTATTTGCACATAGGTGAATATAACAAAGTCAACATGGATTGGGATTATGCTCTCCAATTAACAATATCCAAGCCATTATATATTACACTACTTGCACATCCAAGCTTACAGCACAAGGTGTTCTCAAGCGGTCACCTATCTAGTTACTAACCAAGCTCAATGTTGCTTAACTTCAGTGATGTTTGAGAACTGATGTTTTAATTCTATATGGCCATAAGCCATGTATATATATATATATATATATATATATATATATATATATATATATCTTTTGTTCAATATGACAGACAAAGAAAATTTAATTAATTTTTTTTAGTTTTTCCATGAAAATGGCTAAAGAAGTGGCCAGAAGTGTTCAGGACAATGGACAATATGGAAACTTTATGTACTCCTTTACTCTCAAATGTAAGTATTCTGGCAAAACTAAATAAAAATTAATAAAAATTTTCCTTGTCTGTCATATTTAACAAAAGATGTTTAAAAGAAAGTTTGCTGCCCAAATGTACATTTTATATATATATATATATATATATATATATATATATATATATATATGAAATGTAAATGATTTAAATAAAGAGATACCATGTGAGCTATCACATACACATACAGGTGAGCAAATAGCTATTTATTTAATCAATGGTGTAGACAAAACAGTGCTCAGTGTAGTTAAACAGAGCTATAAAGTATATAATAATAATTACACATATACCTACATTTACAGTAGGGCACCCTGAGGTGGTGTAATGGTTAGCAAACGTGTCTCGCTAGAACAATTACGACTGAGTAGTGAGTTCGATCCTCACTGGATGCCCTCTTCTTTAGGCCTTGTGCCACATCTAAGCTACGCTTAGAAAATCACGACCTACATTTACAGTATGACTCATGACTTTCCAAAACATCAGGTACAAAAAGTTATCACCTGTTCAATACAATTGTTTTTTTTTTTTTGTTTTTTTTTTATTTAATTTCTGTGTTTCATGGGAGCAATGGTACATTGTGTATGGATTCAAAGTTCAAGATTATTATAAATGTAATATGGCAATGTAAGTTTTGTAAAGTCATACAAGTATGTCCATAGGTGCAGAGGTGTTAATAATAGAGATTGAACATTATATTGTGAAAACATTTCCTGTTCAAAATCAAATAGCTGTATCACACTATAGACTAATTCACCCTAACCCAACAGAGAATAAAACGAACATTGAACAGGAAATTCAGCCTAACCCAACAGAGAATAAAATGAACACTGAACAGGAAATTCACCCTAACCCAACAGAGAATAAAACAAACACTGAACAGGAAATTCACCCTAACCCAACAGAGAATAAAACAAACATTGAACAGGAAATTCACCCTAACCCAACAGAGAATAAAACAAACATTGAACAGGAAATTCACCCTAACCCAACAGAGAATAAAACAAACATTGAACAGGAAATTACTAAAAAACAGAGAATAAAACAAACATTGAACAGGAAATTCACCCTAACCCAACAGAGAATAAAACAAACATTGAACAGGAAATACAAAATGTGATGACTTACCCCAACTATGAAAATCCCATCGTAATTCTAAATAAAAATCTCCCAGATTTCGTAATGCTTGGATATGAAATGGCCGCTTATCTTCCATTGACTGACGAGACTGTAGTTTGAGATGATGTAGCAAGGCTTTAACTGAAAAAGAGAAAGAATGAAAGTTTATTCAACCAAATCAACAAATTTGTATTAAAGTTTTCAGTCATTATGTCCTCTTCTATGCCTTAAACAATTTTTAACATATATTCAGAAAGCAATTTGGTTGTTCTCTTTTTTTCTTACCACTCATTATTAATGTTTCTGTTCCTAAGGGTAACTCCTTGTGTTTTAGTGGCTTTACTGCCTTGCATGGAATGATACTGATAAAAAAAAAAAAAAAAAAAAAAAAAGTTTTCTTACTATGCTCCGATTGATGATTATTATTAGTCACACTAGTATATGGTAGCTATTACTGGGGAGCAAATACTTGGTATCTGTGCTGATGACAACTATTTACTCCCGTCTTAATGGTAAGTCTGATTAGGTCAATAAGGTCAAATTAGCAGCTGATCTAATAAATGACCTACAATCTGTTATCTGGGGCAAGAAATGGCATGTTAATTTTAGCACCTCCTAAACAAAACAGCTCCCTGTTAATTGCCTAGAGAACCTTTTCTGCCTTCCATCAACATACTTACTCTTGGAAAAGTGACTCATTGCAACTTCTCTGGCTAACATTTTTTTGCTGACAAAGTGGAAAGATGAATTAATTCCTAGGTCTGCTGCAAGGAAAATGGATTCAGTGTCGAACTAGACAATTTTTCTCACTAGAACCTATCTTACATGTTTATAAGTCTACCATTTCTCCATGTATTGAATAGTGCTGCTATATCTTATCTGGTGCTTCTGCTATATGTTTAGAGATTCTTTATAAACTACAAAGAAGAATCTGCTATGTTATTGGTCCTGACCTGGCATCACTTTCCAACTGCTGTAACATAGCTTCCCTGTGACTTTTCTATACATATTTTGATAGTAATTGTTCTCATGAGCTTTCCTCATTGGCACTTAGTACACTTAAATTCATAAAGACTAAGAGTTGAAATGGCTAGATGTAACTGTATATTCTATGCTAAATTCTTTTCTCACTTCTTGTTTGTTAAACTCTCTTCTGGCTTCTTACTTTCTAGTTAACATTGATCTTCAAGAATTAAAATGCTATATCAATCATTCTTCAATTCTGTCTTCTTCAATCTTGTTCTTTTATTGTTCTCTCTCAAAGTTTTTTTTTTTTTTTTTTACACTCATTCTTTCACACTCAGTAACCCTTTGCATCTCAGTATCCTTATTGCCTTGCTTGGGGTGAAATGATTAAAAAAAAAAATAAATAAATAAAATGCAAGCTTACAACAAAATTCTAACTCAATAAACTTGCCATTTTACATAATACTTTTAGATATCTCTAATTCATTTTTTTTAAGGTTTCTTCTGGAATGTTTCAAATTACTAATAATTATGGATACTATTGTGGTCACCACAGTACTCAACAATATTTTCTTTTTGTTCTTTGACAAAGTCATGACAGTTGTTCAGTATTTCACTGGGCTCTGTTGGAATGGTAACATCCATAAAGAGATTCCCCACTGGTCTTCATTTTTGATCACTAGAGCAAACTCCCTGGTCCAACTTCAACAACTCTTTTTGAATTTCTGTGTTCTGAAGAATCTTAACTTTTTAAAGAAATATTTATACTTACACTATTTAGAGAGGGTTTCAACATATAATTGTAAGGAAAAAAAAAAAAAAAAAAAAAGCAATTAATTTGTTCGTGAAGGCCATTCTTAACCCAAAATGTTCATAAACTGTAGCTATTTTTCCAACAGGAATCAATGTAGAGAAAAAAGTCACAGTACAATAAAATTGGAAAAGAAAAGCACGCCACAACACACAAATGTATACAACACAGTGGTTGACTCAGAAATTATTCCATTCAGGTTAACTCAGTTCAGCAAGATTGTTAGAGAACCAAAGTTTTGTTTGATAACCAAGGCATTTTCATCTCGAATTTTCTGTTCAAGAACTGATTTGTTCAACATGTGTGATGTTAGAGAACTGAGGTTGCACTGTACTATCTTTGAAAGAAATTTATTTAGTGTATGTACTCTTCAAAGATTGTATTGTTATATCTGAGTAACACCATTCTAGATGGGGGGGATTTTTCTGTGTGCCCAAATTGACAAAAGATCAAGGTTTAAAGTGGGTTTAATAGCAATACTGTGGAATAATTGTTCAAGCCCTTTCCACACTTCCTCTTTCAGGGACACCAGAGGTAGTGGGTAATGAACATCCCCCCCACTTTCAAAAGAGAGGTAATGCCTGTGGTGATAGTCTCATGAAGCTTCAGCTATTATTTTGAAACTACCCAGCCAAAACCAGGTAAATATTCTAGAACAATGCAGCAATTTTAGAAAAAGAGTGTCTTTCTATACAATTGAAATATTTAACAACTCCTTAAATTCAGCTGCTACTACTACTACTAAAAAAGAAAAAAGAAAAAAAAAATCATCCCTATGTAGTTAAATTGTCCAGATTTCTTTGATGAAACATTACTTATTTTCAACTTTTTTTATCCTTTAACCTTTTTTTGTTGGATAAAATGAATGAAAAAAAAAAACCCCCTCAAAATAACAATTCATATGAAAATTACATTTCAATTTTTAATTAACAAATAAAGAAATGCTTGATTTATGAAAATGGTTTCAAGCAAAAGTGAATATTTTTTGGCAAACTTTGACCCTCATGTCCACAAAAAAAATGATGTATCAAAAGGATAGTTTTTCAATTGACACTGCTATTATTTTAACTACTTTCACTCTTCGCAATATTTATTGTTTTAAAAAGCAATGGTTAGAATTGGAATAAAACCTAAACATATGAAATTGAATTTAGACATTTTTTCTTGAGAATTTCAAAATATTAATCACTATTTGTTTATTAGATGAAAGTCCAAGTTTGCTTTTTTTTTTCTTTTTTTTTTTTAAAGCAGTCCTCTATAATTTTTGTTTATAAAGAAACCAAAATACTTAAGTAATTTGAGGTCAACTTTTGCAGTGTCCTCAAGTGTCCACTATATTCAAGTATACAATACTTAGAATAATAAACCGGATTTTATCACAAGACAATCTAAACAATCAGGGTAGGGGTGGGTGAGATTAGAGAAACCATTAGAATACTTACTAGTGTTTCTGTTACCATAACTAATTGCTTCAGCAAGTGGGGTCCAGCCCAGGCTGTTCTTGATTCTGATAGGTGCTCCATGGTCCAACAAAAGTTTAATACATTCTGAAATATTAAAAATTAGTTAGCCATCAAAACAAAAATAAAACAGAAGATAATTTGAATGAACTGAAAAAAAAATAACAATACAATTTAAACAAATGCAAAGATGGTAGGGGAAATATCTGCTCATTAAGTAGAATCAGCAAACAGTGAATTCTGATTGATATTGCTTGGATCACTTTCATAATTACCTTTTGAAAGGCATGAATCTAACTTCCCTTAGCCTATCCCATCACTCACATAATAATGGTAAACTGAAAAAAAGGAGCAATGAACGAGTACAAGAACAATCCGTTCTCCATATCACTTTACCAATCAAGATAGCAGCAGCAGAAATGGCTGTTATATCCCTTGTCAGCCTTGACAAATGAAAACTAGTATATATTTATGTATTACAGAAATTAACATTATATGAAACACTAAGCAGGTAAGCATGAAAAAATGTACTACCTAGTAAAAAATAACTTCTCATTAGATTATATGCATATATCAATTGGTAAATGCATTGCCTTAAAATAGCAAGACACACATGTGTGAATAGATTAAGGTGTTGGTTAAAATATACCATGTTCCCTAAGTTCAATCATTGGTCCTGGTAGTGCTGAATTCAGTGATTAGGTTTGGTTGTTTAGCAGCATATCAACCTCTATTATGCCGAAATCTAAATATTTTTACACAATCTTATTTTATTTGGAGATAATAATAGTTTTAGTGATACAAGTTTTACAGATTAACCTATAGATGAAGGGAGAAGAGGTGGATTCATACCTTTCCCAAAGGTATTTGCACATAAGTGAATATAACAAACCCAACTGGAATTGGAACTCTGTTCTATTAACAATTCCAAGTCATTATTCTTTACACCACCTGGTATTCCCAAGCAGTTACTCATCTAAGTACTGATCAGGCTCAATGTTGCTTAACTTCAGTGGCAGAATGGCCAGTGTTATGGCTATAACATCTAAGATGATAGGCCAAATAGCAAAGCATACATTAAAATTACTATTGTTTGTGTATAGCAAACTTTTTTTTACTACCATTCATCCTCTACAAGGCACAAGAGCCACTCAAGGTAGATTACTAAAGAAGATTATTATATGAACAGTAAGAAATAAGAAACAGTTTATGAGGATAAGTGGGGAAAATAATGTTTAATCCTAGACTTGAACAGGTTAAGATTGTAGTGGTTGGTTGCTTTTATTTAGTGACATATCAACGTTTAAGGATATTTAATAGTGAAATCTAAATATTTTATATGAGATTTTTTTTCTTTTTTTGATAATACAGGCTGCGATGGATAAATTGTCTACATTGTGCAAAAATAAAAATAACAAAAATAACACTGACATCTAATTTTAACAGATATAATTTACCAACATTACACAAAAATATCTTGAAATTATTCAATAAAATCGTCATTGGCTTCAACCACGGTATCCAGATGATTTCAGAATCATTTGCATCTCTTCTGGACAATCCTCTTAAGTTGGTGAATACTGCCATAATCCCTGCCTTCAGTTCATCTTTGGTATTACAAGGAGTTTGTTCATCTCTCACTGAACTGTATACCCCACATAATAATCAAGGGTGTTGCAGCATGGGGAGTTAGGTGACCAGATGTAAGGGGTGATGTGGTTGCAGCCATGACTGGGTTCGCCGGCTTGGTGGCACGGTGCAGAATCCTGTTGCCAGACATAGGGTCTTTCAGTAGCCACCCTCTTGACTCAGGGTAGCACTACTACTACTGATGTAGGCCTCCATGTTGAGTCTGAGGCCCTGTGGGAAGATGAATGGAGGCATAACATTGCCATCACTAGTGGGCATTCCAAACACCTTCCAACCGTTTTCAAATCCTCTACATTGTCCTCAGATTGACACCCAAATATGCTGCAATGTTTGTACTGGAGCTTCCAGCGTGAATGCCAAGCAGTACGGGATGCCGTTTCCAAATTTCTGGCAGATTGAATTGCATCATGGTATTCTTTTTTCTCACAGATGGTGCCCAACTGACCCTACTATACTGTGCAATAGACAAAATCAAAAAAAAACAATGTGCACGCACAAAATTATAAATATAAAATGGCGACAATTTACCCATCGCACCCTGTAATAGTTTCAATGATACAGGTCTTTCTAATTAACCTATAAACAGGGGAGAGAAGAGGTGGATTCATACCTTTCCCAAGGCTATTTGCATGTAAGTATTAATTTCAGCTGAGTACAGTTAATAAACCCCTTATTTTGAAACCTGTATTGATCTGTATGGAATCATTTTTTCTAATCCAGTAATATTAACTGTATGTCGGAACTCTAGTTAACTGAAATGCATATCGAGACTGCTGCAATATCATTTTCCGTCAGTGTAAATCAAATTTGAATAGAAGGACTGTAAATTCATTTTATGTTGTACATTTAATTCAAATGTCTGACTGGATTCTCTCTGCAACACTTGTGGCTCACAAGTCAATAATGCACTTACAAAGACAGCAATAATGTATTATGACTAAACAATGAACTTTGCCTTAAAAACTTCAACTTTTCATTATGTGATGATGATAGACTCAACAAATAAGTGCTTTATTTATAACTGTCAGAGTTGAACTCTTAACAGCTTTTGAAGCAATTGTTCCACTTCTATTTAACCAGGCAAAATCTGCTTTCAACTCAAATCCTTAAAATGGGTACCTCTAAACATTTTCTAAAAAAGATGCAAATAGGCTCTGTACTTGATACAGTTTTATCATCAATTTTTTTGTTATTAAGAGGAAAAACCAAAGTATTGTTTCTTTAAATTTTTGAATCCTTTCCAACCTGTTTAAAATTTTGGATAAAAATATTGTTTTTCTTATGTCAGCAGGCCAAAAAGTAGTATTGGAAATAATTTTTTTGCTGTTAAAAATATATTGTTTTGGAAATTCTTGCAAAAATCAAATTGTCAGATTTTAATGAAATTTTCAAGACTTATTCACAAGTGAATGAAATTTTTTGAAATTTTTCTTTCTTTTAGAAAATCTTAGTAAATATATATATATATATATATATATATATATATTTTACATCTGTTCTCCTTACCTTAATTTTATGAAGTTTCTAGAAATTAAAATTACAGTTTCTTCATATTTATATTAATAAAAAGCAAAACTCCTTGGAGAATTTAAATCATCAATTTGTTTTTGTCAAAGCAAGACACCATTTCCCACAAATCTGCTTTGAATCATAAAATAAAAAATGCAATAAGACTATGACATTTAATTAGAAAAGCTTTTAATTGCTTTTATGAATAAGATATATTAAGGATTCTATTGACTTAAGAAGAAAAAAAATAGTTAGGACAACTTCTGCCATGTCAGTCTAACAGCTCAGCTCATTCCTTCTACCAACACTCTGCCCATCTACATATCAGGATGTGTAGCTGGCAACACAAATGGGCAGCAATGAACAGTGTTTAACCCTACCACCAAGGGAGGACTAGAACTTAGTTCCTCAATCCCAACTGTGACTGTTCCACCACCCAGGAAACATCAATATCTGACTTTGTTGCTACTTAACCCCAAATGGTTACTTTAACTTATTTGTTCTCATACAGCCAAGTGGGTATCATGAAGAAAACCTCACTTCAAAGACCCTATCTGTTGGCCATAAAACAGAAACACTTGAGATTGAGAAAAACTACACTTTCTTCTATGCAGGTACTATAATCAGTATTACAGGGTCACTTCACACTGAATGAGTACACATCTGCTCCAGTGAAAATGTACTCCAACAGGATCCCACTCAAGTGAGAGAGACAGTTATACACATACAAACAAAAGAAAAGATTCATGGGAATTCTCTTAAAATATTTAAAAATGATTATATTTAACATTAATTTTCCAACAATAATTTTAATTACGGTGTCTACACTAAGGGATCATAAATGCAATGTAAATATTAGTAATTCTCCAAGTCTCAAGGCAACCAATATCTGTAGCAATCCTAGTTTTTCAGAGGTAAGGAAGGACCCTCCCCCATCAATACTAGAAAGAGCAATAATAACAACTGGACTTTAGAAACCTATTTTCCAGAAAAATCATTTTAAGAATGATTTTATAAATTTCAGACAAAAGCAGTGCTGGCTGATCATTCAATGAATGCCAAATGTTTCCTTATAAGGAAACAGATAATATTATTATTACTCTGGAACACAAGGTAATTGTATTGTCTTTCATTAAAGTCTCCCAGTTCATTTAGTAATTTCTCACCTGATAACAGGCAGTCATTACAACACAACATAGTTACAATTTGACTTATATAGAGGCCAACACAAAACTACTTTTTAGTTATTTCTTCTTTTTATTAATATTGAGAAAAGCCAAGATATCAACAAAATACATCAATTTATAAAAAATATTTAAAATATGCATTTTGACTCTCTGATAACTTCTGACAAGGTTGAACCTTTCTAGACTTGCCCATCCTGACAATCCACTTAGGCAAAAGTAGGGAGTGAAGGTGTACAATGGCACTGACCAGAAATAATTCTTACAAAATTATTTTTCATATTACTAAAGATTAAGCACACCAGATCAAAAAAAAAAAAAAAAAAAAAATCATAAAAGTTGGGGGAGGGTCCAGTTTTTTTTGTAGATTTATTGTAAAATGATCACCCTATAGAAGTCAAAACAAATCTGCTTTGAGGTTGTGATTTTTTTTTAAAAAAAAAAAAAAAAAAAAAAAAAATTTTTTTTTCTAAATTTGTAATCTACAGGGTGATCCAAAAGTCATGCAACAATTGGCAGAAAATGTACACTTGTGAAATAGCAACTAGGAAAAATTTGCATGACATCATCTTCCATAATGCAACCAATAAAATTTCTTAATATCGTCACATACAGAAATGTGATTCCATTTGGTAAATAAATATAAAATTTACAAGGTTATCAATGGTTATGTGACTTTTGGAACACCCTATAGAATGCTTAATCTGGGGCACCTCGAGGTGGTGTAATGGTTAGCAAGCTCGTCTGGCTAGAACAATTATGACTGAGTAGTGAGTTCAATCCTCACTGGGTGCCCCATACTTTTGGCCTTGTGCCACATCTAAGCTACTAGAATGCTTAATCTATAGCAGTGTTTCTCAACCTTCTTATGCAATGGCACACCTAGAAGCAAATTAAAATATTATGGTACACTTAGCAAAAATTTTTAAAGGGTATACATTTAAATACATATGCAAATATGAACTTAAAATGTTTAAAATAACAAAGAATAGTGAAAAGAATAATTTGAAAAAAAAAAAAAAAAAAAATGTTTAATACTTATTCGTTTGTTCAAATACTGACGCTATACCATTACTTACACACACACACACTGTGACAATATTGTGCTGCGGCATGGTGGCTGAGAATCACTAGTAATATATGAAGGAAAAAAAAAAAAAGAAAGGAACTCCAAATTATTTTTTTTTTTTTAATTTACTTAACTGGAGGAGTCCAAATCAAATTTCACTATGTAAATACAACTTAATTCTTATTGCTCCAAACCTACATTGCCAAACATTATACAAGCTTTAAATTTATTCAATTATTTAAGATTTCAATTAAGGTTTTCTTAAATCAAAGTCCTGAAAATAGCCAACACTAACAGCCTACGGCTTGAGACATTTCAGAAGTTATAAGCTGATAGGACTTTTAAGATTGAATGCATTAATCAGATAATCTAATTATTAAAAGCATGCTTTAGCTCACTTGCATATTTAAACAGGTTCATTTAAAGGCAAATTAAAAAAAAAAATAAAATAACATGGGAAATTTTTAAAAACTATGAAGGAAAACAACATTTTGCAAAGAATATCAGCTAGAAAATAGTTCCTGTTTACACTATTTACAGTGTTAAGACACATGGCCTAGTGGATAAAAGTATTTGTTGAAGCAGTCCAAAGAGTTGTGAGTTAATACCTTGCCACAGCAGAGGTGAACAAAAACTTGGAGAGGAAAATAACTGAAACTGAGATATCCGAAAGAGACATGGCATCTCAAGATGAGGACAACGGTCGGAACAATGTAGAAGCGATGGATTCATACATTCCCAAAGGTATCTCAGTATACGTCACTATAACAAACCCAACAGGAATTGGAACTTGGTTCTCTGATTAACAATTTCAAGCTGTTATCCATTACACCACTCACACATCCAAGCTTACAGCACCTGGTAGGCCCAAGTAGTCACCCATCCAGGAACTGACCAGGCACAACATTGCTTAACTTTGCTGGTCCTATGGGAACCAGTGTTTCAATGTGTTATGGCCATAAGTCACAAATTTAGCTGCAATAAGATGGTAAGTTGTCTTTTTTTCTACACAAAGATATATGCCTAGCTAAAGTTAATAAAAAACCATATCTATCTGTATATGTGGTTATATGGATATGCCACATCCTTTCAGGATGTAGGCGATCTTGCAGAGTAAAGTGGAATATGTCACAAGACTGCATTCAAAACAGTATTGTTACCAAAAATTGCTCAAACCCCTGGGTACTTCCCTTCTGGGAAACCAATAGCAGCAGGGCCCGATCTTGACTCCTTAGTTTAGTGAAATGCGAAATGTTGCCTCAACAAATATGAATACCATGGATAGAGCATGCAACAAATGAGGAAGTTTTAAAGAGGAAAGGAACTACAAAGAAACAGTTAATAACTCAGTTAAAACAGTTCAGTATACTGAATGAGGAAAAAAGGCTGACAGAATTGTGACACTATTTAGCTATGGTAATTGTCTAACTAATTAACCATAGAAATTGAAACAGGAAATACTGAAAGCGGAAAGAAGTTATCCCGAAAGATATCCTGTTCGATGTTAAAAAGATTTGATTTTATTTACAAAAAAGATACTAAGACAGTAAACCTGTAGAAAAAGCCATATGTGAGATTTTATCAAATTGATTAATATTGTTGTAAAGAAGTGCCTTGCCGAAAGAGACAGGAGATTAGGAAAGAAAAGCAGAACATTAAGATATCGGGCCATGGCAGTCATAAAAATTTGGGCCTGAGACGATTGCCGATACAGGGTGGAGAGAATCAATATTAATTATCTCTCCAAGATATCATTTTTTTTTTTTTTTTCTTGAGTGCCAGCAAGGAAGGGCAATAAATATGGTAATTATAAAATTTTGGCATTTGTTTCAATACAGGTGGAGAGGACAGTTATTATTTACTTTACCAAGGTGTCACTTTCAGACACTGAGACATTGAGTAGCAATATGGCGATTGTAAAATTTTGGGCAGGAGAAAAGATAGCGTGGAAGAATTGTGATTTGGCGAGATAAAGAATTTAATTTCTCAAGAAGCCAAGGGTTCCAAGTATAAGCTAACTTCACAAAGGGACCAGATAGCAAACTTTAGCAGTGATTGATGGAATTGGTAAAAAGTGCTGGCTAAGTGGATTCTGAGTGACCAAAAGATATGATAGATTTTAAGTGGCAATATAGGATTCGTAAAAATTTTGTCCGATGGGAAAAAGAATTTTGCAAACAAAATTTCTGGATTATAATTTTAAGGAGGACAGCTTAGCCACACCTGCACGACCAGGATGCCATTGCTTGAGTATTAGCAATGGTGATAGGCAGAGGTGAATGGATGAGAAGGATGGAGAAATTAACGCCACTGAAGGGATTGGTACGAGATGTCAATGTGAAAGAGAAAGAGTTTAGGAGGATAGCTCTCCTCCGACCTCCCCTTATACTACAGCCCGATGCCTGACTGATCTCGTCTACTTAAGATCAAAATCACAATGTGGGTAGGTTAGACTCGAGATTGAAGCAGTTACTCCGGTAACCAGACGTTGGAAGTGAGCTGGGAACGACAGAGCTGGTATCGAACCGGTACAGCTGGTGTGAAGCCGTTAACATCGACGACCAGAATTCGACCCTGGATGAGCCAGTATCACATATTGGTATCCTGACAAAGGGATTCCGCCAAGTAGCGATGACCACCGATCAACTGGGACACAGGCTGGTGGCAGCGACTAAGAGTCAACCCCAAAATGCCGGTGGAAGAAACATTACAGCTTCGCACCGTGACTGGAAGTTGACCACGGGCCGACAGCACAGTGTCACAGAATTTAACACTCACAGGAGACACAAAAAGAATAGGAAAAAATGTGAAATGATCTACTTGAAAAGTTTGTGCAAATGGAGGGAAAAATACCACAAAGAGGGGCCAGAAAAAAAAAAAAAAAAACACTACAGTACTTCCTTGATTATCTCTATCTTGATTTTCAATTATCCGGATGTGAAACTGAGAAAATTTTAAATTGTTAGGATATTTTTTTTTTTTTTTTTTTTTTTAACTATCTGCACTAAACCCATTCTAATATTTCACTTCAGAGAAGTGTTTTAAGAATTCAGAAGAGCATACTAAAGGTTTGATAAAAAAAAAAAAAAAACACTTATAAAATCAGTTCAATTAATTCTTGTTAATGTCCTATTTTCATATAAAGAACATACATTTGAATTATCACAGCTTTAAATCCAAGAATTTGACAGCAAAATGGGAGGCCAACAAGAAAAAGACAAAAATGGATGCATTTTTTTCATAAAAATAAACTGGACAAAACCTTGAACAAAGCATTTAAAAATGTTAAATTGATGATATAAATGTTAGATTTCTTTCAAAAAAATTACTTTATTTTCAATAAGTAATCAGTTATCCAGAATTTATATTATCTAAGCATATTTTTTCAAAGTGTTCAGGGCGTAGTACATTGTTAAGAGCAACAAAAGAAACTGGAAAGCTATAACCTTCATCCTGATTGATTCAATTTTTTATATTTTATCAACCCCTTTTATTATCAACCAGCAATGTTGTCAAACAATAAAAAAAAGAGCAAAGTTTGGATTTGTTTTTCTTATTTGATACTGCTGTTTTACTAATATTTATTCTAAAAAGCAATTAACTCCTTTTATTATCAACCATATTTTTTTTTTTTATCTTAAGAGATCATTTTGCTAAAGAGAAGAGATTACCCAGTTTAATGAATAATGATCGGCTTTTTTCTTTTGAAATGGTCACTGCCAGCAATTATACATTTTCCCAATCTGATTTTTCTACAAATAAATTCATGTTAAGGAAACAGATTCAATGCTGAAAATGATACAGGTCTGGTAATCCCACTTAAAGCAAGGTTTTTTTTTTCATTTGCTAATATTTGCTTTAGTAAGATATTCACTCTTTATTATCAATCATTTTTACCTTAAAGAGGCAAGCTTAATCAAGTGTCTCAAAACAGAGTTTTTTAAAAAAGAAAAAAATGATATGGTGAGACTGGAACTAAAATTCTAGCTGTTATGAGGTTTAGTACTGTGGTGGTGCCTATGCTTTAAAAGTACATGTGTACTAAAGTGCCAAATTTTACATATTTATTTGTCTTGTTTGAATTTATTTCCTTAATTTTGAGTGACAATGTAAGTAATCAAATTAAAAAGGCAACGTTTTCTTTGTGGAAGGGTCAATGTAAAACTGGTGATTATTATGGTGTTACAATTCCTTTCTTCCTGTAGGAGGCATGATCAGATATTTTGACAAGTTTCAAGACTTGTTCTGACCACACTCATATGCATACCTGCATTTGCATCACTAGAAACAGCCAGAAAATAGTTGACATTTTATTCACCATAATGATGAAAGAAAATGAGACCCAGCCTAGAGTACAATTTTCATTTTTAATTTCTCTTAAGATTGAAAAACTCAAAAATTGCACAGATCTACCTTCTCAAAACTTATCAAATAAAGAAACAGTTGGTGATGGGTATTCAGAGAGATTCTGGGGTAGGAATAAAACTGAACAGTTAACCCCCACTCCCAGGTTTAAGAAAAAACAAATTGGAAAATATTCTGATATAAAAATATATTCAAAAATGGAAATATATGCTTGATTATTTGTTTTTTTTTGCCTCCTCAGTTTAGGAAGACTGACTAAAAAATAGAATCTGAATGCCTGATACTTAGGCATTTTAAAAGTTCATAAAACTACAAATATTTTTTTTTTTTATAAAATATCAATATTAAACATACTGATGAACGAATTCATTAAAAGTTTCCTTGTTTTTTTTGGGGGGTGGGGGTTGTTTATTTGTTTAAAAAAAAAATTATTATCTCTTAATGTAATGATTGGTTGAAGTCATTTTTTTGATCATTATCAAGTACTGGAAGATTTATAATTTTATTATCAATTTAGAAAGCCAAAAAATGAAATGGGGAAATGTTATCTTTGACGGTCATCATGCGCTATATGGAAAAGGCCCATACCAATACCTATTTTATAGACAGGCTGCTAAATTACACTGAAGTCAACACCACACCTGTTCATGACAATATATTCTGCTTTCCACAGATGGTATAATATAGGAAGATTGATTGATTAGCAAGTGGCTGATGCTCGTGAGCATAAATAAGCTTTTATTTCATATAAATAAATAAAAAAAAGACAAACATGGGATTTGAGGGAAAGTTTTAAAAGGTCACTTAATTGCAAGAGGTTCAAAAGAAACAAATTCAAAAGAGGACAATAAAAATTTGAAAGAAATGAAAACAAAATTCAGATTCACAGATAAATTACTAAAGTTTTACAATAATGGGCTTTTCAGGATGGTCTTTTTTTTAAAATTATGTTTCTTCACTGTGTAAAGGTCACATGATACCATTTATACTTTTAGATATTACAATCAGAAAATTTGGTAGATATTAAACACTATCTAATGGCTGGTTGCTTGTTTCTGAGTATATCTGTCTGCTGAGGTAGCAAGCTAATCCCTGTTGTAGACATCTGCTCAGACACATTTGTTTTTTTCCAAAAACCACAGAGCCCACCTGTGGTTTTATACTGTTACTATACTGAGCAGACCTTAGTTACAGTTTCTGGGAGTATGCTCAAACCCTTAGTCACGATGATTTCACACTAGCACCACCAACCTGGGCTGATATTGTCATATTTCTGACAAATCAACCATCGTAGTGAAGATTCTAACCACTTGGCCACACACCCATGACTTGTACGATAAACAAAGTGCCTATCAGGAAAATCTCAGTTAAATTCCCCAAAATATCTTGACTCCACCATGGGATGCCATCAATTTACATTTTTTTTTTTTAAACTAAATGTTCAGCCAATGCCCAAAAGAGCCACTCAAAGCAGAGCGTTAATGAATAATGTTATTGTAAGAGTGTAAGAGGAGGGGTAAGAAGTGTATTTTATGAGGATATATAGAAGAGATAACCTTACACTTGAAGAGGTTAAGATTGTAGTGATTAGGGAAGTATCCTCTCAGGAGTTCATTTCACAAAGTAGCTGTCCTTGAGAAAAAGCTGTCCAAACAGAATATCCTTCTTACTAGTGAGATATGAAAGAAATGGGAACAATTTGTCTCTCTGTATGCGGTAAGGCAGGTCTTAACCCTGAGGGTCTGAACTGGAGGAAGTAAGGAATATAGTTTATTAGAATATTTTCCATAGAAACAGCAAGAGAACAGTGAGAGGCTTCTAAAGTTTCCTCTGTGGGAAAAGGGTTAAAAATGGATGTAGAAAATGATTTATCACCCATGTTTATAACATCAATAATGCTGATTATGATTATAATGATTGTAAGCACTTCCGGTCACACTAGAGAATGGTGGGAGCAAAACAGATCAGGCAGCAGTTTGAATAAAGTAATTGTTAATTTTACCACATCTTGTGTCATCCTTGTTGCCAGTCTCATAATTTATCTTTCCACCCTAAGCCCACTGAAACACGGCATAAGGCTGTATACATTTCTGAACTCTATCAAGACTGAAAAGTGAGGCCTAGATAGTTTCAACCCAGATATGGCAGCAGTACTGCATTCTTGTCCTGATCTGACTTGTTATAAAATAAAGTAATCACAACATTATATATATATATATATAGTTTATATATATATATATATATATATATATATATGAAACTTAGCTTCTTCTGGCAAAAATGTACAATAGTGAGGTACTCAATGAGGAACAAACTCACTATGCTTGCAACAATAGCAGACTACAAAAACAAGAGTTATTGTAGTATCATAAAATGATAAAAGTCAAAGTTGATGATTTGCATAAACAGTTGAGTCAGTAGTCATAAAAGTTGCTTTCCCTCACACACCTACACATTTTTTGTATTGATCATCATGGCCTACCAATAACAAGACCATTTACTTACAGTATGTTCCAATCTTGTCTACAAATCAGTAAAATAATATAAAATTAATAGTTGTATAGAGTCATGAAATAGGGTCAAACACATGCTTCATTTTTATGTACAATATCAGAAAAATTTAAGATGTTTTTATAAAATTACATTTATAATAATAAAAAAAAAAATACAATTATTCAAGATAAGCATCCAAAAGTGACCAAATTATAGATCGAGTCGCCTACTGTTTGCCAAAGCAGAACCTTGTTTGTAATATTTGTAGCATCATCAAAAAGTGGCTCTATGCAGGCAGCAAGCAATTTTCATCTAAGAATCAATCTTGGTAAACAATATCAACTGTTTGTGATTCTATCACCTCTGAAGAAATAATTTTCAATTGAACTTCTCAGGACAGTACGCTGATTGAAATCATCAGAAAAGGAAAAATAAACTAGCAAATAATATTGCTTTTCTATCATGTTATTCAATGAAATTCACTTTTTTTTTTGTTTCCTATCATTTCTCTGACTAAATCATTTTTGCATTTGGTAGTTCTTGTTTAGTTTTTCATCCACGTATCGCTTGAAATTGATTCTTTGGAGATGGTTGCATATAAGTTGGGACATGTCCAATTCTTGTACATACCAGCACAAATGAAATTCTATATATAATAATTCCTAGGTTTTGTGACCTTCCGCATTTATCAGACATGTTTAATCAGTGTTTGATCACTATGACTTGGTTTTATAACTATTATCAGTTTGCATGTGTTGGAATGTTTTGTAGATATCTGATGATGAGAGAGTGCAAGAAGTGGGTTCATGCCTTCTCAAAGATGATGCGACTATAAACAAACAGTGCTAGAATTGGATTTGATGACAGTGAACATAATGCTTTTTTCTTTTACATCATAAAATATATTAATTTATTAATATCAGAACAAGTGAAATTATCCTCAATCTTACCTATTATAAAACGCAGATTGTGTGTGTGTACGTTTATATATTGGATCGGATTTCCTACATTTTTCAACCGATTTCAACAAAACTTCACAGGACTCCATAAAATTACCTTGCGGTGGTTCTGACAGCGCCAAAAATTGGAAAAAACAATTGTTTTTGCACAAAATCAATTTGAAAATATAAAACACGATTCTGTCGCCAGAATGAAAGGGGGACAACTCATATCGAGTTATACATTATTATAAAACCCAGGTTGTGCGTGTGTGTGTGTTCATTTATATGTGGGATCGGATTTCCTACATTTTTCAACTGATTTCAACAAAACTTCACTTTTTTTTGGCAGTTAGTGTTTCTTATTGTCTTGCACACTTTTTTCTTTATTTTTACATTCAGAATGCTTTAAAAATTCCATTTACAAGACAATTGTTTATAATAAAATGCTATTCAATCGCTAGACTCATAACGACTGAAAACTGTTTTTGTTTCAGTTTGGGTTTGACCAATTCATAAAAAACAAAAAAAATTAAGACATGCGTGTCCGTCAACCTTAAACAATGATCTTTGTCAATTTTATTTTTCAGTCTTTATGATGGTAGATACTTGATCTATCTCTTACTGTTACATCCCCGGTCAACGCCGGGCTCTACTGCTAGTATGAACATAAAAGAGACCTGAGGTTTCATGTACAGGAAAGAATTAGACATTGAGGCCAAAAAAAAAAAAAAAAAAGAAAAGCATTACTGAAAGCCACAAAATATATATGCATAATTTGCCTTTTAAGAAGTAGTGTTTTTCAAGTAAAGTTGTCTAATTAAAGAATCTAACAAGAAAATGATAAAAAATTTCAATATATATTGACAAATTCTTTGCTTTTTTTTTTTTTTTAATATGGCCTTGTGGGTGACAAATTATTTTCCACCTTACTCTATCACTATTTCCATGGCAAATATTCTAATGAGCAACATTCTTTAGTTCAGACCTTTACAGCTAAGACCCAGCATACCATATATACAGGGTAGAATCATTAATTCCCTGCATATTTTGCTGGCAAGAAGGGAGTTCCATTCTGAAAGCATCTTCCCAAGAACCACTACTGTGTCAAACAGACTCCCAAAAGGATACTTCCTCAATCACTACAATCTTAACACCTTCAAGTCTTGGGTCATCTGATATCTACTTTCACCAACCTCATTCACTAATTATCTATCTTGAGTGTATAAAATTTTAGTCATGGTGTCCCTAAAAGTTTCAATATTTTAATTCTTTTCACACCAAAACACCGACAAGTAATATACAGTAAATAATTATATAGCAATCACAATGCAGACAGAATGAATAAAATTAAAATATTCTATCCATACAAAACAGAAAAATTTTTTTTTACAAATACCTTTGTATCCTAGAATAACGGCCAAATGTAATGGTGTGTTACCTGAAAAAAAAAAAAAAAAAAAAATTCAGAATAAATAAAACATTCAAAGTTGAATATTTTGTAAAACATATACCCAAAATTTTGAAGTAAATATTGCTCTAAGAATTTTAATGAGTAAAATTTATATTTGAAATCACAGACATTTTTTTGTTTTAACCAATTCACTACAAGCAAGGTGATAATTCCACTAAGACTCAAGGGGATACTAGGAGTGAAAGAGATTAAGAAGACTAAGGAACCAGAATTCCAATCGTAAATGGGAAACAAGGAATAAACCACTACTCCTGTTTAAAAAAAAAAAAAAAAAAAAAAATAGGGTGGTGAGAACTGGACATTGAATGAACCAATCTACTCCAATTCTCCATTAAAAAAAAAAGCATAGAATAATGAAAAAAGTCCCCAAACTTAATAAAAACAATGTTTTATCATCAAAATGTGTAGGTTATTAAGAAGAAAGACCAGAGTATTTTTTTTTTAATTATTTTAAAAAATTTTTTTTACTCCTTTCTAACACATTTGAAATTTTGGTTAAGAATCTTTTTTTTAGGCATCAATGGTAATAGAAAGTTTTGCACCTGTTTTCCAGTAAAATAACTCATTAATTTGGAAAGTCTTGCAAAAATCAAATAATTGTTGTATTTTAATGAAACTTTCAGGACTTATTCACAAATGAATAAATTTATTTTTGAAGTTATTTTTTAGAAAATCATAGTAAATATATATATATTAACATCTGTTCCCCTCACCACAACCACCTGATTTCATGAAATTTCTAGAAATTAAATTTCATACTCCAAATTTTTTATATTTGACTCCTTGGAGAATCCCTAAAATCTGCTCAGAATTGTAAAATAAAATGAAACCTGCAATAAAGCTATCTATTATTTAATTAGATAAATTTTTAATTGCTTTTACAAATAATTGATATTAAGGACATAGTCTAAAGAAAAACAATTTTTTCAATGAATAATGAATTTTTACAATAACTGTTTTTTGGTTTGTTTGTTTTTTTTTAATTATAATTTATAAAAGTTTCAAAAAAAATATTTAAATTCTTCCAAACATCATCCTCATTAGGCTATTGAATTATTAAGTGAAGACTATATTTACTAAGCAAAAATTGAAAAGCTCAATACAAATCATCACACCTGTATATTTTAAAAATAATTAAAAAAATTTTTATGTGTATAAAATGCCAATTTTGAAAGTATGACCATACACCATCATTTTGAAAGGTGACCATACACAACATTATCAGAAAATAAGAGCAATCATGATAGTAAATTTAAAGTCAACATTCCTAAATCAGATTACTGAGAATATTTCCAACATTTTTAAGATTATTGAGTACTTAAAAATGATATAAAAAGCATTCACCAGTATTTTCTTAAGTTAGGTTTTGACACATAAGATCTCGTAATAATAAAAGTGTCAACACCTCATAAATAACTTTAGTGATTTACAAGGTGTTGACAAACACAATCATGCTACTGTTTGTTTTAAAAACCCATTTCTCTGTTATTTTCAACTTAAATTTATTTGTTTCAAATCAGATTAATTATACTTTAAATCAGCTAATATTCTGCAAAAAAAGTTTCAGAAAAGTATATTTAATTTTTGAACCATTTTTTTTAATAAAGAAAAATTCATTGTGATGACAGATGGTTAAAAAAGCGAACTAATCAACTGTTTTTAGACACACACTTATTTTTGTCTGCCAACTGGAGGCTAGTTGGGCTTTCCTGGTCTTTATTACTTCCAGCCCTTACTTCAACCTAACTCGCCTGGTTGATCAGCATTAATCAACCTGATTACAAAAGCTCTCAACTTCCAGCTTTCCTGTCAACCTAAGTCACCTGGTTTAGGAAGCTGCTGCATGCATTTCATCCGGGCTTCAAACAACTTATTCCGTAAACTTCAGTTAAATATTACAGAAGGTTCACCATTGGACTTAACCAGCAACTTCTCAAGGCCAGCACTGGACATTTAAACTGAACTTTCTTACATGCCAACTTAACTTACTTGGACTCTTAACATTTAGTCACAGTTATATTATCTAGATCTTCTAGCCGGTCAGTATTCCCTTCATTTACTTAATTCTGCTTCCATTATTCGATTCTTTGTTTGTTCATGTTCCTTCAATTGAAACACTATTTTTGTATATGATGTAAACATGAATATCTAGTTTTATAATAAATACATTTTCATTTTTGTCTTTATTTTCAATCGTGCTTCAAGACAGAAGTAAAAACAGGTTTCATTAAAATGATTTATATATGTATATAGGTTTCTTTACTGTGTAAAGTCACACACCTTTTTTCCTATGGGTTTCAGCCCATTGCCTGTAAATTTAAGAGAAAGGCAACCCAGCATTTGATTTTAAAAACGTAATTCATAAGATGTCGACAATTTCTTTTGACTCAGCGGATAAATCAGAAGCCAGTTCTGTACAGTAAGTGTTGCGAAACACCGCCTAGTCTCACAGCCCAAATTTCAGTCAGGGATCAATTAATAATGAGAGAAGAGATCCCACGAAATGACCTTTCTCATAAAAACCTCTCACAAAGATCAGAAAAGAGGGAAGACAGACCTTAAGTATCGAGGTAGCAGACCTGCGCATTCCACCCTTTCTGGTAAAAAGATGACCAGTATTTGGAGCAGCCTCGCTTTGAAAATAAGCCATGTCAAACACTGTCACCTATGTCTGATCGCAACTAAACACAAACAGGTAATTTCATTTATTTTTCCACAATAGAGAAAAGGTTAAAATAAAAGTAATGACACATGAAAGACTCTCTGAAGATATTAAAAAAAGCTCATCTGTTTAGGGGTTGATGCCAAGTTTGATAAAGAAACTTTGTTGTATAAAGAACTTATAAGGAAATGGTGACATTAAACTAAAGAAGAAAGGGGCCCAGAAAACCATTTAACATTTACTCAAGAGACAGGCACTGAGACTGGAAAATACCCAATTTATAGAGTAGTTCCAACTATAGATGCCATTGGTGTTGTTCTCTAACAGAAGAAGCTTTTAGTATTTTGGAAGACTTTGATAGTATAGACAGCCTTAAGGTTGTTCTTCTGGACATCACAAATACAAGTAAAGGATGTAAGGCAGGCCTTGTAACTGCTCTGGAGGAAGAAGCTCCATTGAAAATTATATACAATTGGCTATTCATTACATCAGAATGAGCTACCAATCAGAACTGTTTTTAAATATGCTGATGGTACAAGAAGAAGCTTGGTTGCTTTTACAGGCCCACTAGATAAATTTTGTGAAAGGAACTATCAGGATTTATCACAAGTAGAATATATGAAAATCAATGGTCTTATTGATAATATTGGTCAAAATTAATCAATCTATGCCAATATGGAATTTGTGAAACTGCAACCACTGAAAACATTTCAGAATTTGAAATTCAACATCACTTATAAATAACACAAAATTAGAGTTGCCTGATTTTCCTTCACATTCTCAATGTGTTTAAAGATCAGTGAAATTAATATCTGAGGTTTCTAGTGTTGATTACAGATTTGAAGCAAGACAGACACATTCTTGCAAAAAACTTATGTCATCAACTAAAACCTTCCTTTGTTTCTAAATGCTCTTGGACTAAAAATTTTCATGATATGATTATATAAATATTTTGATTAAATTAAATTTTCATGTAATATAAAATTTATTTATTAAGATAGCAAGCTTTTTTGATTCACTGTTGAAATAACATTTTTCAATAAAATATTGCCAAAGTGAATGGCTTTTTAAACACAATTGCAATACTGATATTTGATTGCATTTCCTTAAAAGGGGTTCAAAGCATGGAATCTAAAAATTGGTGTATGTTTTTATCTCACTAAGTCCTAACTACCTCGACTTGTCGAAAGTTGATTCCTTGGTATGCAAAAATCAATCTACCCTAATGCATACACATACATATATACCTATTAACACCACACAATAAAAACTCCAAAACTTTCTCTTCCATATTTCCAAAAATTTATGATGAAGCTTAAATAAAAGCAAAACACATTAAAATTTATAAACATTTATAAACTTTGATCTTATAAATAATTTTACAGCTATATTTTTAGCTCTATCTGAATTTTAACACACACACTATATATATATATATATATATATATATATATATATATATATATATTATAGTTAAATTCAAGATGAATTCTGTGGACAAGACAGATTGGTATCAAATGACAATTGGAAAAAATCTTACATTTAGCGTGTTTTCGTCTTCCGACTTTTCAAGGCAAAAATGAAATCGAAATATTTTTGTTGTTATAGTTACATTTAAAATCAAATTTAAAAGATAGACGCTTCTGTCTCAGCATTTTTTTCTGGTTAATGTAAATTACTTTTATAGTAAGGGATTATTATTATTATTATTATAATCCCTTACTATAAAAGTAATTACATTAACCAGAAAAAAGGCTGAGACAGAAGCGCCTATCTTTTTTAAATTTCGATTTTTTTAATGTAACTATAACAACAAAAACATTTTCGATTTTCATTTTGCCTTAAAAGATGAAGACGAAAATATTAAATGTAAGATTTTTTTTCTGTCATTTGATACCATATATATATATATATATATATATATATAATAAAGACCACAAGACAAAAGACATGCAAAATCTACCAGACCAATGAAATCAAACAATACAGAACTAAAAGTACCAGTACTTTCTCTTCTATAATTAATTTTAAAAAATTCTGATGAAGCTTAAATAAAAACAAGACATTAAATTTACAAACTATCTCTTTGTTCCTTATCCTATCATTCTGTTGGATTCTAATCTATATTTGACCCAAATTCTTATTACAATAGGATAACTTGTTAGATATTACAAAACTATGGCTTATACATCAATAAATACAGCACTTGAAACTTTGGAAAATATCAACTATTCATATATATTATCATTTTAATGTATACATGAAAAAAAAAAAAAAAAAAAAAAAAAAAATCAATCCTACACAC